AGCGTTCCGTGTCTAAGTCGCACTGGCCATGTGACCACGGAAGATTGTCTTCGGACAAAACGCTGGCTCTATGGCTTGGAAACGGGGATGAGCACCGCCCCCTAGAGTCGAACACGACTGGGCAGTCAAGGGGAACCTTTACCTTTACCTTTACCATTAACCCTAACCTCCCTCCCTTCAAACATGAAAACAGAAGGGGGGGGGGAATGGTTTCAAAATGTAAAAAGAGGGACGGGAGAGACCTGGAATGTCTTTAGAAGGTGAATTACCTTTTGTTTATTTTTTTTTCTTCTGCCACAAAAATATTTCTGGGAGAAAAGGAAACCCCAAACCCATAGAGAGAGACTTAAGGGCTATATACAGCCCACGTAATTCCCGCTCCTGCCTTGAGTGTCTTTCAGGAAATCTCTCAACTTTTTTGCTAGCTGACGGGTGTGAGTCTAGATGTGTTTTGGAGGCAGGGCAGTTTCTTGACATTACTGGACTCCAGGTTTCCCAGTTACCTGTTCTCTGCTCTGTAAGGTTTTTAATCAAAATCCTTGTCTGGCTGTCTTCCAGGACCTTAAATGGGCTGGGCATCCTCGTGTGCTCCATGGATGGATCCGTGGCATTTTTGGATTTCTCCCAGGATGAGCGATGTGATCCACTCAGCGAGGAAGAGAAGGTACGGTGCATTCTTTCAAAAGGGCTTTGCTCCTTAAGCTTCTCAAATAGTCACTTAATAAAGAAGGATGTGCTTTCCAGAAATTGGAAAAATTACTTTATGGCCACTGACATGTTACCCCGGCCTAAATTTCCCCAAGTTCCAGTGGATTCATACACAGGTTTACTCATAAAAACAGGTTCTTTGTGCATATGCAAATCGTTTTCATCCCTGCTGTTCCTGACGGCATCCCCACCAAAGAGGATCTCAGAGAAAGGTAGACTTGTGTCACAGACCTTAAGGAAGCACAGCCATTTTGGAATACAGTGGTGCCTCACTTAACGGCGATAATCCGTTCCAGGAAAATTGCTGTTAAGCGAAAACATCGTAAAGCGAAAATAAAAATAAAAACCTTTCAGTGCATTCCAGTGGGCTTAAAACTCACCATCCAGTGAAGATCCTCCATACGGCGGCCATTTTCGATGCCTGTAGAGCGAGGAATCCGTCCCTGAGCACAGCGGGGAGCCATTTTGAAACCGCTGATCAGCTGTTTAAAAATCGTCGTTTTGCGAAGAATCGGTTCCCGAAGCAGGGAACCGATCTTTGCAAAGCGAAATTCCCCCATTTAGAGCATCGTTTTGTGATCGCAATTGCGATCGCAAAAAGATCGTCGTAATGCGGGGCAATCGAAAAGCGAGGCACCACTGTAGTTAGTGCTGGGATTAGGTGGGTTGGTTAAATGTCGGTATTTGTTATTCTTGGTGGCTAGAGGGCTCGATGGGTTGAAGCAGCTGGCTACAGAGCCGGGGGTTTATTAGTTTGATGCTCAACGGTGGCTTCCAGGAGAAGGGCCAGCCTGAGTAGCTTTGGGCAAGCTGCACCATCCTGGAGCACCACCAGAAGAGGGGACTACTAAAGCACTTAGAAGGGTTTTATGTAGAGAAAATGTTGGGAAAGGAGGGGTCATCCTAAGCCGTACGTGATTTGACAGTAGCTATTAATGAAGCCAACAGTGTTGGCATGATAATAATGCTTGAAAGTAAATACGAAGCCCGTCTTTCTGAAGATTTTGCATCATCTGGTTATTTAGTCTGCTTCTCACTTGGTTGCCATTTTCTATTGAACTCCGATGGTTTACGTGGCTATTCTGTGTTCTTTGTACCCTTTAGAGCAATATCCATCAATCTACATACGGGAAAAGCTTGGCTATCATGACCGAAGCACATCTATCCACTGCTATTATTGAGAATCCGGAGATGCTGAAGTACCAGCAGAGGCAGCAGCAGGTGGCAAAGAAGAACGAAGCAGTAAAAGACCCCGTTGGGTCAGCAGCAGCAGCAGCAACCGCTACTGCTGCTCCTAAGGTGGCCAGCATGGTGAATGGGGAGAGCCTGGAGGACATTCGGAAGGTAGACATTTTAAGTGCATGATCCTCGTCCTCTGTAGGACCCCTGTATCTGCCATCAGTTCTAAGCCCCCAACCCCTGCAAAGGCTGAAAACTGCAGGAGGCTTTTTTAAAAAGTGAATGCTATCCATAGCATGGTCTCTGACTCTTTCTAGTGGACAGTTCTCGTAACTTCGCTGTTAAAAATATAGATTAGCATTGATTTTTCTTTTAATATTTTCAGACTGTGGATAAGTGAGTCACTGGATACTGATCCCATGGATGAGTGGGTCATGCTGTACAAAGCTTGTGATGTTGTAAACTATTCTTTAAAAAAATAGTTTATTGAAGTATCAGGATCCATTGTTTTACTTTTGCTCAAAACTGCTGCTTCTGTCAGAGTTGGTGACGCCCTTCCTCCATCCGTTTTCAGTCCTTCCTTCTCCGTGCGTCCTCGTGAGTTCCTCCAAAGAATGGGGAAGCTCTTAGGAGGATTTTTTTTCAGTATAGAAGGGGATGCAGCAAGAACAGGAGGAGAAGGAGGGGGAAAGTCCCAGTTCTGCTGACCTCGGATCCTGAAACATACTGTTCTGGGGGCACCGTGGGATGGTGCAGCTTGCTCAAGGCTACACAGGCTGGCTCTTCTCCCTGAAGGCACACAGTGGAGGAATCAAACTCCCAGCCTCTGGTTCCACAGCCAAACACCTAAACCACTGAACTGTCCCGCCAGGTGTGCTCTTTAGTAGCCTCCCAATGTTTTTTAAGGGAGGATGTAAGAAAGGTTGATGGGTTCCTTAGAAGGTGGAAAAATTGGTCCTTAGAAGACGCAAAGAGACTATCTGAGAAGAATAATAATTAAGTTATTAAAAATTGGGGGAATCCAAGGGCTAAGGCATCCCCAAGAATTATAGGGACTGCAAAAAAAATGAAAATACAGTCTGGTCTCGACTTACGAACTTAATCCGTATTGGAAGGCAGTTCTCAGGTCGAAAAGTTCGTAAGTCGAATCTGCACACAGTGGAGGAATCAAACTCCCAACCTCTGGTTCCACAGCCAAACACCTAAACCGTGGAACTGTCCCGCCAGGTGTGCTCTTTAGTAGCCCCCCACTGTTTTTTTAAGGGAGGGTGTAAGAAAGGTTGAGGGGTTCCTTAGAAGGTGGAAAAATTGGTCCTTAGAAGACACAAAAAGAGACTATCTGAGAAGAAAAATAATTAAGTTATTAAAAATTGGGGGAATCCAAAGGCTAGGGCATCCCCAAGAATTATAGGAACTGCAAAAAAAATGAAAATACGGCCACCAGTCCATCATAGAGGGCTACCTCTTCCTACACCTGTTGATAGATTTAAGTAAGACTTATAAAGCAGAAGTCCTGAAACATATTTTTCTTTTAACAGAATCTCTTAAAGAAACAGGTAGAGACCCGGACAGCTGATGGTCGGAGACGGATCACGCCTCTTTGCATAGCTCAGCTGGACACAGGGTACTTCATCCAGAGTATATTTCCCATTTACTTTGTGATTTTTCTAAACCCATATGTAGAAAGAAGTCATTCCGTTTGTCCTCTGCCCCCCTTTCAAAATATTTGCAACTTGTTTTGAAACTTTAAAATCTTACGGCTGCAGAGATTCCATAATAATAACGCTGCAGCACCGGAACGTGTAATGCAAACATACATGGAACAGTGTTGTTCTTTCTGTTTTGTTTTGTGTTTTTAGAAGTACAGAACAGAATGTCGGTTCACTACCTCGATCAACATGTGAAATGTTGCGGGGTTCAGAAAAACGTTCAGTTTTATCCTGTGCAATTTGTTCCGAGGGGTGCATCGGGCTTCCATTTCCTCTCCCTGATGACAATAGTAGATACGTTGAGATACAAGTACTATAGTGATGCAGGAGGTGCTCCTAAGAGCTTGAATTAAGGTCTGAAGGCACTGATGGACAGAAATGGGAAGAAGCTGGGGCACACCCTGGAAGCAGGCCTGGACCCAGCTTTGTTGAATGATATTCTGGTGGCAGTGAATTTATATCAGTTATATCTGAGGAGCTGATTGTGCTTTTACCTGCAGATTTTTTATTTCTTTACCATGTCTGCATTCTGCTCAAGACCCCTGTGCCTAGTTACTTTCTCCCTGTTTTTCAGCAACCCTGTGAGTCAGGTTAAGGAGAGAGAGAGAGAGAACGAACTTCAGGATGAGCAAGGATTTTTAGAAGCCTTGTCCGACACTCATAACAGGGTCTAGTTACTAGTTAATATACTAGTAACTTCCCAGCTTGATCAGTGCATTGTATGTGGAAGGGTCTTTGGGAAGATTTTGCCAAGGAGCTCCAAACTGCTTGTTTGAGTCAGTCGCATCTAGGCATCTCCAGAAATTATTTTTTCATGTGAAAACAGATTCCAGGATAAGAATAGACATGTATGAAGGAGAGATTTATTTCTGCTTAACATGGTTCAGATAATCCTAATCTTAGAACTGCAGAGGTGAAAAGGTCCCTAGGGATCCACAAGGCCAAGCCTCTGTCAAGGAGACACCGTGGGGAAATTGTTCTCCCGACCTCTCACCCTGCAGCCAGATACCTATAAATGCTCCCGGAACCCCAAAATGTCACTGAGATGCTTCTCTCTGGCGCTGGACTCAGCCCCTCAGAGAAATAACCAGCAGGGAGCTCCTTGGATCGCTAGTATCTACTGCTTTTGGAAGAGAGGACATGGCAGTAATAATAAGCTTATCGGAGGCAGGGCTTCTTCATGGGCCCACGCAAAACATATGTAATTAAAATATATGCCTCTTTGATCATAGAGGCAGCCATATAGACAATGCATTTTAAAAAAACCACTTTCCCCTCAATTATTATCTCTCCCCTGCCTTTTTCTTCCTCTCTCCATAGAGATTTTTCTACAGCTTTTTTCAACAGTATTCCAATATCCGGATCCTTAGCCGGCTCAATGATGTCAGCTTCCCAAACAAACCAGCTCATGTCGTTAGATTATAATGCAACCAATTCCCTCGGCACCTCTAAGCCAGCCTTGGAGCCCACGGCGGTCAGTGCTAAACCCACCGAAGATGCAGCCAACAAGGACAGGTCAGTACTGGACAAAGCATGCTTTCTTTTGACTTATACCCTGAGCCCATATACATGACAGGCACACCCTACGTCTAGAATCGTCCCAAACTTGGGTATTGCTTTTGGACTGCAGTTCCCAGAAACCCCGGCCAGCAGAGCGGGTGACGAAGGGAAGGCTTCTGGGAATTGCAGTCCCAAGAACATCCGGCCTTACCCAAGGTTGAGAGCCCCTGCTCTAGAATGATTATGAACCGGAAAGAACTTTCACAAAGGGTCTCCTGTACAGTAGTTGCTCATCAATTCAGATACACAGCAGTGCCATCGGAGTGTAAGGCTCAGGAATGGTGTCAGGGCTCCATTCAGTTAAAAAAAAAAAGTAGAATCGCCCTTGAAGGGAGAACATCTGGCCTGCCGCACTTTGGAATAAGGGAAATAATAAGACACATCACTATCTAGAAATCAGTGTCATTGGAGCAAGTTTTATGGGCCAGTGTCCAGGCTTCTTTTCCTATAAGAAATTATGTCCAGAAATCATAGCCAGCCGTTTACTGCTGACACAGTGACCTAGACAGAGTAGACCTATTGATCAATAAAAACTTGTTTAAGTGGCGCTTTTGTAAATTCCATTCATTCAGTGGGTCTATGATAGTGACATAAGAAGAGAACTTTTGCTTTTTAAAGAAAGAAAATCTATACATACTACAAATCCTTAACTTGGTTTCTCTTCGAAAGAACGTCTCAGTCTACCGTTCCAGAACTGGTTGGAGTCTGTCATAGCCAACATGGAAGCCTAGGTTGGCTTATAATCCTGCATGTCCTTCAGAGGTCTGGGAGAATCTCCAGCTCACCCTTTCTCTAGTGATGGCTCAGACTCCCCTGACTTCGTTTTTCCATCCAGTGATCAAGGATAAGGCTTTATAAAGGGTAGCTCCACTGCTTTCTGTGCTCCAGGTGTTTCCACCTTTGCTTCGCCCTTGTTTAAGACAGCACCGCTCTACCATACCTAGCAGGGTTGGTTCTGATAAACTTCAAGGACCGCACTGAATTCCTCCTGCTCAGCTGGCACCATGCAGCTGGTAAGCCCTAAGCAGACCTCATTACATCCATTCAAAGCAGGGAGGCACAACCGTCCATTGAAATATCCCACTCAGTCATTAAGAGAAAGCTTGCCTGAAAAGTCTTTGCCTGTTTGCAGAAGGACAGTAAAGGTGGAGCCAGCTGAAAAGATGTATATTTTGAACCATGGAGGTGCAAACTCTCTGACTCTGATGGTCATATCTGGTTTCTGTTTAGAGGGGCTGGTGGTGGTTTTCACACACACACACAAAAACATACTTTGCAGTCGGAGGTGTATGTAATTTGCTAAGACACGGGCGAGAAGAATCCCAAGGACTTGATTTTTAAAAAATCTTCCACGTCGGATTAACATGGTTGGCCTCCGGAGCACTTCCTGTGTCTCTTTCTCAACACCCAGTCTTGCTTCTTTTGCAGTGTAAATGCTACCTCCGCTTCCGCTGCCCCTCCTGCGTCCTCGCCCTCTGTCTTGACGGCCTCTTCCAAGATAGAACCAATGAAAGCGTTTGATTCTAGATTCACGGAGCGATCCAAAGCCACCTCAGGGACTTCTGCCATCGCGCACACAAATCAGATTGCCATAGAGAGGTGAGAAGCGCTTTATTCGGGTAAGGCAGAAACGGAGGATTAAGGTCGCCCGAGGGCCGTTGAGACTGGAGGCAAACCAAGGGCAAGGAAGGGGCTCTGAAACCATCCTTGCTTTGCGCGCAGGAGATGCCCTGTTTGGTGTTTCCTGATTAAAATGTACTAAGTATCAGGGTTGGAAGACATCTCTCCAAGCAATCTCGTATGCATTTACTTTTGAGCTAAGCCCCGTTGAGCTCAACTCTACAGATCATAGCTTCCGACTGAATGTTTACAGATTATAGAAAAAGATCTTTTCCAACACTCTTATCCAGTACTCTTTGAGCCGGAAGTGAGTGGAAGGGGGACAATCTAGGTTTGTTCAAAAGTAAACCCCATTGAACTCGGCTGGGAATAAGGCTACAGGCTTAGTGTAGCCCGGTTGACTTTCTGTTGGTGATGTGGATCTGCCGGAAGTGAACCCCTTCGGAATACAGTGGTGCCTCGCTTAACGAGTACCTTGTTAAACGACAAAACCGCTTGACTATGAGGTTTTTGCGATTGCAAAATGATGTTCTAATAGGAAAAATTCGCTTCACAATGATTGGTTCCCTGCTTTGGGAACCAATTTTTTTGCTAGATGACGATTTTAAAACAGCTGATCAGCGGCTCTAAAATGGCCGCCCGCTGTGGAAAATGGCTCCCCGCTGTGCTTTAGGACGGATTCCTCGCTATACAGGCACCGGAAAATGGCCGCCCTGTGGAGGATCTTTGCTTTACGAGGAGGTATTTAGCCCATTGGAATGCATTGAACCGGTTTTCAATGCATTTCAATGGGCTTTTTCATTTCGCTTGACGAGGATTTCGCTTAACAGCCATTTGAACGGAACGAATTATCCTCGTCAAGCGAGGCACCACTGTACAGTGTGTATCCACCGAGCTGTGCTTTTTCCCCGCAAGGATGTGCCGGAGATCTCTTCCTAAGGGATTTCCTCCCTCTTTTTGTGACAGGAAGAGCTCTTTCTGGGGAAGGGCAGGGGATTTCCTGTTCAGGGTTTTCTGGAGAAGGATGATGCCATTGCCGGAAGAGAAATGCAAGACATGTTGTGGGTTCCCAGACCAGAGAAAGCCCTTTTTCCTGTAAACATTTATCTTGGGAGACCTCAGAGCAATCCAGAGCCGCATGGTGTCACCTGGCCATGCTGTTCCAAGCACAGAAACTGGCCAGACAGGCGGTACATTCTTACTTTAAGATGTGACGGGCTGTCCTAGAAGTCAAAGGCTCACCTGGGAAAATGAGACTGGTCAGATGGTGCTCAGTTCGGTCTGCCGGCAACCTGCTGCCACTTCCCCATATCTGCCCTCCCCCAGGTGATGACCTCTTTCTGACTTAATGGTAGGACCAGCCGTGGTCTTGGCAGTATCTTGGGGCTTCGGCCTGTACAGAAAAAGGAGGCATTCTCCCCACCCTGCTTTCCACTGCACTCTGAACTTAATCTTACCTTAAAAAGCACACCGTCGGCTATTTTGAGGAGCTTTGGGAAATGAGACTCAACGGGGGCAGCTAATCTTTCTCCTTTCTCGTGCAGACTGAAGGAGCAGAACTCGATTAGGGACACTAAACCCAGGGATCTCCTAGAGAGCAGCAGCGACAGCGAGGAAAAAGTCCCGGCCAAGCCTATGTCGCTGTCCAAGCGCAAGCTGGAACTGGAGGTAGAAAAGAAGAAGAAAGGCAGGCCTCGAAAGGACTCCAGGCTCATGCCTGTCACGCTAACAGTTCAGGTAACCTCACCTTGAAGCAGCCAGGGAACCAGACCCCATGGCCTTTTCATCCTCCAGCAGAGGGCTGAGAACATTAGTGTGGATTCACAGTTCTGTTCACTTCAATATTTTGCTTTTGCTTTCTTTCGGGCAGTCGTCGTCCGCTTTTATGGAGCCAGGGCCGGCTCTCCCTTGAAACCGCAACGTGGCCCCCGCTTTAAGATTTTACTTCCTCGGGACTGGGTGCAAATGCAGGCAGAGTCTCCAAATCCTCTCGTGCAGCTACGCAGACGGCATGGCCTTGGGGGGGTACTTTCTCCCAAGTTAAGAAACCCCTCTGCAGATGTTAGCAGCTGCATGCAGAGTCATACAAATTGGTCTGCAGCTGATCATGTCTCTGGCGGTTGGTCTCCAAAATAGGCACACTCTGTGTGCTATGGCAGCCTTAAAGCCATAAAAGCCAAGATAGATTCCTTTTTCTGAAAGAGAAAAAAAGGAAAAGAAGGATTCCAAAATCCTATTGCTAATATCTTTTGTAGCTTGATACTCCTCCCCTTCTTTTCAGTTGGTGTCCCACAAAGCAGTTCATCACATTAAATCGTGTGTGTGTGTGTGTGTGTGTCTGTGTGTGTGTCTGTGTGTGTGTACACATACACTGAGACAGAGAGAGAGAGAGAGAAAAAAAAGGATGCCCATTTCTGCAGGGAATCACTTCCAACCTCCCCCACCGCAAATTCAGAAAAATGTGTATTACAGTGAACACTATTTCAGTGTGGAGTGCTGTACATAGTCTCTGGCTTGCTTTATTGACTAGTTCTGGTAATTTCTCTTTAGAAATATATATTTCTAGGATTTTTCATTTAATAATTTTAATATTTTCACATAGTGTATAATAAGTGAATCCGTGGATACTGATTCCTTGGATACAGGGGTCCTACTGTAACTGCATATTTAAAAACCAGATGATTAATACAGAATCCGAACTCATGATTAAGCAGGAGCCTGGTCCCGTTGTCTTTGTTTGCCTGCCTCCCTTCATCTCCTGGATTCTTTATCGCCAAGCACTTTGTGTGAAGGGGTGCCTTTTCCTTAAGTTTGTGTTGCTTTTCATGGGTGCCCACATTTTGTACGGAGCCATATTGTGGGATGTTTGTCTCTCTTCCAGTCTCCAGCCCTGTTGACTTCTGAGAAGGACGGTGCTTGCCACAGTGCACCCTTAGCACTTAAACTGCCAACTCCGGTCGCGCAGAAAATGTTTACGCTACAAGTAAGTGGATGATGAAACAAAACGGATTGGGGAGGCAGTTGTAAAAGAGAAGTGCCACAACTTCAGCAGAACCCTTTTCTCCTGAGATAGGCCCACCAGGGATCATTGACTCCTTGAAATCAAAATCCCAAACTCTGAGGCTAAGGATGAGTTTTAAAGAGCCTGTAGGCAGTGTCACGCCAAATGTTTCTGGAACCATATTGTCTTTTACTGTTGTAAGCTGCCTTGGGTCCTTTTTAAGGAGAAAGGTGGAGTATAAATAATAAATAAATAAAGCCTCAGTAGCAAAGTGCTCTAAGTCAAAATGCATTTGCTTGTTGTGCACTGCATCACATGATATAGGAAGCAGCAGCAAATGCCTCTGCTAACTTTTTAACTTCTGGATATTCATTGCTGAGATTTTTGCTGACTGTGTTATACCAGTGTACAGATGTAATAGGACTCCTGTACATTCACAGAAAAACATACTGGCTGAAATCTTATTGCACAGCTCTGCATGCACGGTGCTGGTGATGTCATCAGCAGTGGCAGATCACAGATGATTAAGGTTTCCTTTGGCAGTTTCAGGATCGTTTTTACCACCTTCATAGACATCTGTTTTAATTCATCCTGTTAGTTATCGTATTTGTTTGAATGTATGTTTTATTTTATTTTTATCGTGTTTTGATATTGTGTTGTTTATCTTGTTGTTAGCCACCCAGAGTGGCCTGGTTGCCAGATGGTGTGGGTATAAATCAAATAAACAAACAAACAAACAAACAAACAAACCAAAAAATTGCAGTTACATATTGTCTATCAATGGACAGGTGCCTCTGTGGCCCTTTTTGTAGGTATATGTTTACAGAGCCTCTTGAAATCTATGTGCAGTTTTGTCTGCTAGTTTTGATCCCAAAACTATCTGCAAGCATCAACATTGATGATGGGGGGATGTTGTTCTACATCCATGGTTTTCCTGCTCCAGTTTCACTTTAAGAGAATCAATCCCTTTTTCCAGGTTAGCTCAGATCCCTCCATGTATATTGAAGTGGAGAATGAAATCACTACAGTGGGAGGCTCGAAACTTAGCAGGTTGAAGTGCAATCGCGAAGGAAAGGAATGGGAAACGGTCCTCACCAGCCGGATTCTCTCCGCAGCAGGAAGCTGGTAAGTTTGTGGGCGGGCGTCTCTGTGCGAGAGACGGCATGCATGCACGCGAGGACGTCGCGATCTCCCAAAGGCTTCAAGTGAGACGGCACTGGGGCAGAACTTGTCAGATCATACCTAACAGATACTTTCATGGGTCGCAGCCGCCTTCAAGCGAGGCAAAAGTAAGCTGTAGTCCTTGGGAGCTTATGCTGAATGCAAAAAGTTAGTCTTCAAGGCAGCAAATGCTTTCTCATTGTTTCTATCGGAATGACGGGACTTCGTCTCCCTGCTGGCTGCTTTGGAGTTTGGGTCCATGACCCTTGACCCCGGGCCACGTCAGTGGAGGGCTTCCAGGTTTGTGGTTCAAAGCCTCTGTAGCTCTTGAGAACGTTCCTCTACAAAAAGCAACTGAAAGATGGGACTTACTCTACAAATGGTTTGAGTCATCAGACATCGTTTGAAGAACATGCATTAAAATGAGAACTTAAATCTGGAAGGCAGAAAATAGTAAAAAGAGCAATTTGGAATTTTGATATGGCAATATGTATAGAACGGATGCTAGTATGGCATTGTTTCTCCTCTTCCCCTTAACCTCAATCCCTTTTTCTTTCCTGTTACCCTATGTTAAAAATAAATTATATAGCTCTGCTGTCCTAAGTTTAAAAAAAGAGAGAGAGAATGTTCAGACCGCCCTGAATAATTTGAGTTTCCAGGCACCCGTAGGAGGCCAGCTGTGTTTCTGATAGACTAAAGCACTTGCCTCGCACCGTCTTCCATGTGCTCCATGTCGCGAATCAGACTCCCTCTTGGTCCCAATTAGGATGGAATGTTTTGACTTCACTTCTTATCTTGCCGCTGCTGTGTCGGGCAGAAGAGTCTTTCTCACCGTCTCTTGAGAAAATCTTCCCATCGCTCAAAATCAACTTCACACAGAACTGTTTTGAATCCATATTCCATTTTCTCATGACTATATAAACCATACACATGACATGCTTTAAACTACATATTCATGATCGTGACACTCCACACTCAGCTTGGATGAATGCTCTCTAGTTCTCCAAGGCTTTTGCTGGGAAACAATTATGCTGCTCTGCTGAGCTTTCTGGGTTGATGTTACTAGTAATTTTAGTCTTGTTTTACCTGCTTGCTTTCTGGCTTTGTTTTCGTTTTTGCACAACCGGTTTGGGTGACAGTCTATGGATTTAAAGAAGCGTTAAGCCCTGAGTTGGCTCTTTCCCACCCTCCTCTTTTCCAGCGAAGTGGTGAGCGTGGCTTGCGAAAAGCGGACGCTCTCGGTCTTTTCGGCTTGCGGTCGCCGCCTGCTCCCTCCCATCGTCTTGCATTCGCCGATCTCCACGTTGCACTGCACGGGTTTCTACATCATGGCTCTGACCACAGCGGCAACCCTTTCGGTGTGGTAAGCCCGGTCAATGCAGCCCCTCGTCCCTCTAGCCTTGGTGGCACCAAACTGAGAAGTATTGATTTGTTGAAAATCTATTTACAGTGGTGCCTTGCTAGACGATAATCCGTTCCACTGAAATCGCTGTTTAGCAAAATCATTTTCTAGCGAAAAGCATTTCCCCATTAGAATGCATTGAAACCTGTTTAATGCGTTCCAATGGGGAAGAATCATCGTTGTCTAGCGAAGATCAGCCATAGGAAAGCCGCTTTGCGAACCGCCGATCAGCTGTTTAAATTGCTGTCTTGCGAAGCTTAGGTCCCGAAAACACCTGTTTTGCGAGCACGGAGGGAGCTGTCAAAATCGTCGTCTAGCGAAAATCAGTTTGCAAAGCAGGGACCAAACATTGTCCAGCGAAATTCCCCCATAGGAATCGCTGTTTTGCGAATCGCTATAGTGATCGCAAAAAGTCAATGTCTAGTGAAAAAACTCATGCGGGGTAACTCTCTAGCGAGGCACCACTGTACTTGTCTTTCTCCCTTAAGAGGGAGGGACCCCAGGCAGCTCACATCATAGCAAGACAACATTTTAAAGCTAAAACACTATGTATACCGGTATCGAAGCAGAATCAAACAAATGTCACACGAAAAATGGTAAACAAGGTCAACACCAAAAACACATTCAAAGCAATAAGGCAACGGGTTGCTGCTTATATGTCGTCCCACAGTGCTAAAAGCACTCTCTGGGTGTTTTACAATTTAATTATGTGGGCTGCACGTTTCCTCCTCAAGCATGGGTGGTTTACAATTTAATTATGTGGGCTGCACATCTTCTCCTGAAGCAAGATGGGTACTCAGTTTACCGACCTCAGAAGGCTGGAAGGTTGGCTGTTTACTGACCTCAGAAGGATGGAAGGATGGCTGAACCTCGAGCCGGCGACTTGGGATTGAACCTGGGTCCATGAGCAGAGTTTCGTCTGCAGTATTGCAGTTTAACCACTCCGCCATGGTTCACAATGGTCCATTTAAAAAACCCATCTTAAAGAACCAGTAACTAAGGGAAAGCTTGCCTGAAGAAAAAGGTATTTGTCTGCTTCTGGAAGGACAGCTTGGCCTCCAATGGGAGGGAGTTCCAAAGGCTGGACACAGCCACAGAGAAGGCCCTTTGCTAGCTGATTGTTGTTGATAGACCTGAGATCGTTCTATTATTTTATCTTCATCCAGGTTATTCCATAGCTCCCTATAGGTAGGCTTGGTAACTGGGATAGGATTTGCTTCCTTTTGGAACATGTACCAATGTGTGTTTGGTTTGTTTCAAAAACACTGCCCTTTTTTTGCCATCCAATGAGCCTCAGGATGGCCCGTTTGTTTATTAACAACATTTATTCCCCCAGTTTTCCTCCCGTGAGGTCATGCAACGTATCTTGATTGCATGATTAATTGCATTTGTTTATCCGTTTGCTGCCCACCAGGCTTCCCCTGGTGATTTGCATTCTAATTTAAATGCTCAAGAACTTCTGAAAAGCATGCAATGCAAATTTTTAAGCATTCAAAAAGAGGTCAAAACATTGAAAAAGAGATGTACAGATCACATTCTCCAAAAGATTATTTTTTGAAGAATAAACTCTGGAGATCCAAAGTGTTCTCTGAAGTAACTCATTTGTATGTGCTTTGTAAGTTCTATGATTTCTTCATCTTTATTCATTCGCCTTCGTGCTTCTCAGTCAATTTGGATTAAGGCTTGGTATGTTAACATTAAAATGTCATCCGTACGTAGTTGGTTTGCTGCTCCTGGAACTGTGGCAGTATCCCCGAAAGGAGAGGTAACATGATGCTGATATTTTTGATAAAGTTCTTGGAATGGAAGATCCATTAATAGTGGAAAGTTGGAACTATGTTGCTTGCTCCCAAAAGATATGAGAACTACAGATTGTTGCAGCTCATATTTGGTGGGGACATAGGAGATGGCCTTCTCTGTGGCTGCCCGAAGACTCTGGAACTCCCTCCCACTGGAGGCCAAGCAGGCCCCATCTTTGCTTTCCTCTTGCAAGGAGACAGAGACCTTTCTCTTCAGGCAAGCTTTCCTTGAGTGAATGGCTTCCTGAGAGGAGCTTTTAAATGGAATGTTGTGCCTTGTTACTTTTAAATGCGTTCTTAGTATTGATTTTGTTTACCTTTTTAAAATATATTTGTTTAATTCTCTTAAAATATTTGTATATTTACTGTTTTTAGCTTTAAATGCTGTCTTTTTAATGACGTAAGCTGCCTCAGGTTCTTTTTAAGAAGAAAGGAGGAGTAAAACATAGTTTTAATAAATAATACAATGGTGCCTTGCTTGACGAGGATAATTCGTTCCATTGAAATCGCTGTTAAGCGAAATCCTCATCAAGCGAAATGAAAAAGCCCAGCAGGCGATCATTTTAGAGCTGCCAATCAGCTATTTTAGAATTATCGTCTAGCGAAAAATCGGTTCCCAAAGCAGGGAACCGATCATCATCAAGCGAAATTTCCCTATCTAAACATTGTTTTGCGATCATCAAGCGGATTTGTCATTTTTCCCTATCTAAACATCGTTTTGCGATCGTCAAACGGATTCGTCGTTTAACGAGGTAATCGTTAAGCGAAGCACCACTGTATTTGTGGGGAGAAAATAAATGGGAAAAGAAGTGACAAGAAGAACATCATCTTGGCTGAAAAATGAGGGAGATGTTTGGATGCAGCAATAACCTCCCTGTTTGGAACTGCTTTGTCCAGAGCCAGAGTAGCTGCAATGATGTTTGACCTCCAGCAGGAGAGAAGAGGAAGCAGCCTGAATATCACCCCATGGTGAAAGGGGGCTCTTTGACACTTACTCCATTGAACTGTCCCGTCTTTCTGCTTCCTTCCAGGAACGTTCAGAAGCGTTCGGTGGTGGTGAAAGACGAATCCTTGCAGACCATTTTGGCAGGTAACGGAACCGCTTCCCGCCGCCTGGGTTAGGCACGTCACATGTCTGCATGACTAAAAGCCCAAACTCTGTGGGTCTGCCCCTTCTCCTGCTCCCCCGTTACGATGTTTCATTTCCATCCTTCCGTCCTCGCCAGCCACTGCTGCTCTTCCCTCAACTTCCTTCTATAGGCCATGATCCAATCGGAATTTGCACTGATCAGAGGATGCCCTCAACGGGATCCAGAAAGATAACCCTACCCGTGGGAACCCACTTGCTAGCATTGATAGTGCCTTGAGTAAGGAAGTGATCACTGGGAGGATAAGGATGCTTTGGGACCCGTTTTGTCATGCCCTGTCTCATTCACAGAAATTTTCTCAGGATCTTGACAGAGCTTCTGCTTGCAGCCCTTCTGAGTTTTCCCACCATTTCTTCCATCTGTTTTTTCTTTCTTTCTTGGATCTTTCCCTCAAAAGAACTGATAAGGAAGAAAAAGCAAAACAGCTGCTTTGTGGCCGGAAATCTCTCGGTGTCCATGTAAGGTTTGCATAACTTGCCAGAGCTGATTGCGGCTAATTAACAAGGGGTCCAGTTGGGTGTGGGCTATGCCACTGAATGTTATGAACGGGCACGCAACTGAGATGCGCCCCGTCCTGTCATCTGCTGCGATTTGCCAGAGCAAGAGAGGAAAATCTTATGAGAACACCAATAGGATTCTGGACAATGTCTTCATTTATTTGTTTATATAGTGGTGCCCCGCTTAACTATGTTAATGCGTTCCAGCAAAATCGCTGTAGAGCGAAAACATCGTAAAGCGAAAATTAAAAAACCCATTGAAACGCATTAAAACCCGGTTAATGCGTTCCAATGGGCTAAAAACTCACAGTCCAGTGAAGATACTCCATACGGCGGCCATTTTCGGTGCTTGTATAGAGAGGAATCAGTCCCGAAGCACAGCGGGTAGCCATTTTGAGTACCCTGCAGCCATTTCGAAAACCCAACAATCAGCTGTTTTGATCGTCGTAATGCGAAGAATCGGTTCCCGAAGCAGGGAACCCATCTTTGCAAAGTGAAAAAAACCCATTTAAAACATCGTTTTGCGATCGCAATTCTGATCGCAAAATATCGTCGTGAAGCGGATTCGTCGTAATGCAGGGTAATCGTTAAGCGGGGCACGACTGTACATTTGGTTCTGCTAGGATCCTAAAAAGCTGGTGTTGGAAGCTACCTTACCTACAAGTCACCCTGTTGGTCCATCTTAGATGTGAACTAGAAGTCTTTATGCCCCATGTGCTGTCTGAATCCCATGGGATAGCCAGTGCAAGCAAGCCTTCTGCCCTGCTGCTGTGACGCTGGTGTGTTTTGTCGCAATGACTCCGGTGTGTTTTGTTGCAAAGAAGTACAAATACTTGGTCTTTCCTTTATAGGAAGTGAAACCACTGTGTCTCAGATCTTGTTGACACAACATGGCATCCCAGTAATGAATATGTCTGATGGGAAAGCTTACTGCTTTAGCCCTTCTCTGTCTTCCTGGTGAGTAGCACATGGGGGTCGGGGGCTGTTCTGCTTTAATTAGGCTAAATTCGGTGCAGATGCTCTCTCCGGCTTTTGGTTTCCCTGCATTTTTCATGTAAGTGATTCAATGTAAGATGATGGCGGTGATTCTGAAGCTGGTTCTTCAGAGCTAGAAAAAGTTACTTTTTTTGAACCTCAGAACGATAATAGGTATTCTTGGTAGCAGTTCTTTTGACCTCAATGGATTAGATTCAGAATAATTCTTCTGCGGAATACAGTGTTAAAGTGGAAGCCTCTTGTGGAGGAAGAAATATGATACTTCCCCTTAAAATCCGGGCTTGCCTTTTTATTCCGGTTAGCGTGGAGTTAAAATGAGGTTCCGAGGGCATACCTTTGGGATTTCACAAGATATTTACATCTGAAAAGACAGCAATCCAGATCCTTTGATGTGCAGAAGAGTGCATCTCATTTTGCATTTACTCAACTGTAGCCTTTCTTTTCTTCCCAGGAACCTTATTTCCGACAAGCAGGAGACTCTGGCACAATGTGCGGACTTTAGGAATAGTTTACCCTCCCAGGAGGCTATGCTGTGTTCGGGACCTTTAGCCATAATCCAAGGAAGAACATCGAAGTATGGATGGAGAGTTTTCATGTTGATGAATGTTAACCTTGTCACCTTTTCCCTTCTTCCCCTTCCTCCCTGTTTCCTGGAGTGCCAAAGGGAACTTGGCTCATGCTTTGCCAAAAATCTGAACGGATTGCCTTGAAACTAGGCACACGAGCACATATATAGAGGTTCCAGGTCTCCTGCTTGTCACCTTTTCCCTTCTTCCCCTTCCTGCTTCCTGGGGTGCCAAAGGGAACTTGGCTCACGCTTTGCGAAAAATCTGAATGGACTGCCTTGAAACTAGGCAGACGAGCACATATATAGATAAGACCATCACCCAGGTTCCAGGTCTCCTCCCCAACTAGGCCTGAGTGTGTATAGCTGAAATAAGTGCACATTTATCCCCTCTTTGCCCCAGTCTCTGTTTTCTTCCCCTCCTTTTGTTGCCTTCTATGTGTATGCTTATACTATAAACCGGTTTATAGTATAAACAGCCTCATGGCACAGTGGTTAAACTGCTGTACTGCAGCCAACACTGTGCTCACGACCTGGGGTTCAACCCCCAGGTAGCTGGCTCAAGGTTGACTCAGCCTTCTATCCTTCTGAGGTCGGTAAAATGATTGTCCATCTTGCTGGGGGAGCAATGTGTCGCCTGCATAATTAACTTGTAGACCGCCTGGAGAGTGCTTGAAGCACTATGGGGCGGTATATAAGCAGCACGCTTCGGTTTTGATTTTTGTTTTAAAACCACTCCTACAGAAATGGTACAACATTACAGAAACAGACAAGTTACATTTTAAAAGTAATGTGTTCTTGCTACTTGTTACAGTGCTTAAATTTGTAGTTTGATCCCATGTCTCATGGTGACATTCAAGGAAGTACTGTACCTCATTCTGCCAGTTTCCTGTCTAATATTTACGTGTGCGGAACTTGAACTGCGGAATCTCAGCCAGACATTGGTCTTTCTCAGCCAGGACCTTGTCAGATCCATAGAGCAGCTCCTACAGTTCAAGTGCCACCGACGTACGAATATTGAACAGACTACTGGCCTGTGTTACTCGGAGGGGAAAGAAACTTAGGATGGATCAGAGCATGGCGTCCCTCTGTTAAAATTCTTGCAAAAAATGCCCTTGAAAAGTAACTAGAAGATGTGACACCCCCCCCACTGCAAAAGCTTTGTCCTCCCTCATTATGTTGCTGTTAAGATGGGCGCAATCCCCAGTATGGTGGTTCGACCCTGTTTGGCGTGGAGCCTGCACAGGTGTTCCATAGGTGCAGCGCGCTTCCCTCCCTTGCCTCCTCCAGATGATGGCCCACTCGCCGGCCGTTGTGTGCTTCCATGACGGCCTTCTCTGGGTGGCGGCCCCTTCCAAGGCAGGGGCACGGGCTTCCCTGCCCCGCCTCCTCATTAGAATGGGCAGCTGCTGAGGAGGCAGAGGAAGGAAGCGCCTGCAGCAGCGGGTGAGTGGACGATGGCCTGGAAGAGGTGGGGAAGGGAAGTGCACTAGGGATGGTGAGTGGAGACGGGCGGAGGGAAGGACATGGCCCGCAGGGAGCCCTGTGTGGGCACCGCACCCCACCAGGCCAAACTGTGGCCTGTTGCCCATCTCTAAATGGCAATTATGTTCCGCCCTTCGTATCCAGATATGTAACCTTCTTAAAGGTAATAGCATTCTTTGTGACCATGATCAGACATAGCACGCCACACGAGTGGCTCGCCCTTCCCAAAACAAAGCCGTCTTTGGCTTTGCACAGTCCTCTAATTGCTTTGAGGGGAGGAGAAGAGAAACCTCTCCTCCTGGTGCAGGACCGTCCCAAAGCAAGCCTTGGCTTCAAACAAGGAGTCGTGGACTCCGATCTCCTCTTGCGTGCGGGCGGAAAGGAAGAGAGAAACGCTGAGCTGAGGGCTGCCCTTTGCTCGTAAAGGCTCTCCGTGGTTAAACGACTATCAGATCCCCGAGCACGCAGCATGCAACAAAACTGCTTTTAAAAGTTAAATCAATAGCTAATTAATTACTGAGAATGTCCCCTGTCTCTGTTCATGATTTCAGCTCCGGAAGGCAAGCGGCACGGCTGTTTTCCATGCCTCACTTGATCCAGCAGGAAACCACTCTGGCGTACTTGGAGAGCCAGGTGGCAGCTGCGCTGGCTTTACAGTCAAGCCACGAATACCGTCACTGGCTCCTTATCTATGCACGGTATTTAGTTAATGAAGGTGAGCTCCGGCCTCCATTTCTGCTTCCTTCGTAAAGGGACATTCTGTCGCAGAGGGATTTTTTTTTAATGTTCCCCTGCCTTTACTCTTTTGCTTCTGGTATATCCCTCTTGGGAGTGTGTTCTTCCAAAATTTGCCTTCATCTCTCCGATGGGGACTCATTTCTTACCGCAAAGCTCAACGTCTTATTTCCTCCTGACAACTCCTGGTCCCCAAGCGCCAGGATCAGCGGAAGCAATGCATCTGTGCATCTGTAACATTATTTCTGACATGAATCCGTCTTGCAGAGAGCAGAGCCATTGGCAGCGTCAATAATGTACTGTAGGCTTGTAATTTTGGAAATGCATGCCACAAAGAATAATATCTATTGAAAAGATCAATAAAAATGTCAGATACCAGGCCAGCCAAGAAGAACATTGGATCTTCTTGCATGCAAGAGATAAAGTGTTTGTCCATGTGAAGTTTTGTGTTGTCCGTTTAATCATCAGGACCTCCTGGGTTTCACGTAGAGGTCTTTTCCGTCATGAGCAATTTGGGGGCTGGCTGGAAGGGCTAAAGACTGAACTAAGGACTTTGGTCCACTGAGTCTGTGGTCCCTCCCAAAGGAGTTGTGCACAGGGTTCAAGTTTAGCTGAGCGTCTTTTGTCCTAGACTTGATGTGCCCTAGATCAGTCTAGAATCTGCTCTTTCTCAGTCTTGTACGTCTTAATAGCACCTGCACTGCAGACCATGAGGCCAGTAAACAACAGGTAACTTCACATGTTGGAAGGAATTCTTGATTCACCTCTTCCCTCTCTGCTGTGAGATAGGCTTTTGTAGATGGGTGATTAGGGTGTCTTGCTGTGGGTGTATTGTTGTGCTAAGGAAAAGAGATTATCTGTCACTGTGGTTGATACTGCACTCCCAAGCCAAATACTGCACTCCCAAGCCAACTACACCAGAGCACAGAGTGCTGTCCTCTGAAGATGCCGGCCACAGAGACTGGCGAAACATTAGGAAGAACAACCTTCAGAACACGGCCAAAGAGCCCGAAAAACCCACAACAACCATTAGATCCGGGCCGTGAAAGCCTTCGTGAATACATCTTCCTTCTCTCTTTGCCTAGATTTTTACTGAGCCGCCATATGATCTGTGGTGCTTGTTTTGGCTTGGATATTTCTCTCTGTCTTTTGAACATCACCCTCAATACTTCCTGCTGCCTGACCTCTTTTCTAGGATTTAATGCCACGCTTATGAACATGATTTTGCTTTTTTTGCCATCACTAGGGTTTGAATATCGATTGAGGGAATTATGCAAGGATTTATTGGGTCCCGTCCATTGCTCAGCTGGAAGCCAGTGGGAATCGACGGTTGTGGTAAGTGTGCCGTGCCTTTCAGAATGACTTAATACACCTTGCACGTCTCTCTTCTATAAAGCTGCACCAGCGGCAAAGGATCAGTCTTGGGATGGCTGATTTCCCAGTCATGGGTTACTAGCCCGTATAACCTTAGCACATCCTTTTTTCAACCTGATGCTGGGACAATAGGATTTGTGACCAATAGCTACAGGGCACCCAGTTGAGGGATGATCAATAATAATTACGAAGGAATATGATCATTAGTCCCTTTGACAGTGTAATCAAATCTGATGGGCAGTATTTCTCCCAGGTTTCAGGAAGGATTTTATCCGACCTAGAGATTTCTCTTCTCCTGTCCAAGAACTGACCAAGCTAGGTTTAGCTTTTAAAAACATACAAGATCACAGGTGTCTAGACTGATATGATGATATAGACTTAGAATGGCTTTTTAACCAAAATAGCACCCATGTTTAGTTCTTGACTACACTGAAGATAATTTCTGTCCCCTCTGAACAGAATCAAAATAATGGGATTTTTGAATCCCACTGCGTGACTTAAAATTGTTACCCAGTGTGGCGTAATGGATAGAATGGTGGACTAGGGAAACCGGTTTCAAATCCCCACTCGATCATGGAAATTCACTGGGGAGGGGATGGATCCAACAAAACCACTCCTTAAATATCTCGCTTACCTTGAAAGCCATGTGAGGGTCACTATAAGTCAGTTCTCTTTTTCACATACCCACACAAACACAAAATCATCATTATATTAGAGCTGCAGAGCTGGAAGGGACCCTATGGATCACCAAGTCCAGCCCCTCTTAAGGAGGCTAATCAAATTCCCAACTTCTGGCTCCACAGCCAGGTGCTCTAAACCAGTGGTTGTTAACCTTTGTTACTCAGATGTTTTTGAACTGCAACTCCCAGAAACCCCAGCCAGCACAGTTGGTGGTGAAGGCTTCTGGGAGTTGCAGTCCAAAACTCCTGAGTAACCCAAGGTTAAGAACCAGTGCTCTAAACCACTGAGCTATCCAGCAGTATTTCATTGGCATCACCTAATTAGCTTAGGATGTTGACATTATCATTAATGTTGTCCATATTTATTTTACATATATTTAACATTACAAATAATTGTCACTGTCTGTCTGTCTGTCTGTCTGTCTGTCTGTCTGTCTGTCTATCTGTCTTCCTTCCTTCCTTCCTTCCTTCCTTCCTTCCTTCCTTCCTTCCTCCCT